GCTGTGATGCTATCCGATTTTAGTACTACAGAATTGAGACTTAAAACTCATGTTTCACGGTGAGTGGCGGCATTTACGTTGTTATGTCACGGACATAACACTAGATGGATCATAAGTTTACGTCTACCCACTTAGTATCTTGAAAAAAAAGCAGTACCTATTTTTATTTCAATCTAATATTTGTGCGTCAGTGTATAGTTACCAATAATGGTGAATTTTATTTTAACGTCGCCAATAGATAGCTTTAGTTGCAATATTAAATGGTGCTATCGATGTATGTTTTTTTTTATTGCCCTTGTAGGCAGACGAGCATACGGCCCACCTGATGGTGAGTGGTTACCGTCGCCCATGGACCTCAGCAATGCCAGAGGCAGAGCCAAGCCGCTGCCTACAAAGCCAAGCCGCTGCCTACAGCCAAGCCGCTGCTTACAGCCAAGCCGCTGCCTACGCATATATAAAGACACTGATTATTACAACAATGTTCGTTTCGCCGTATAACCAGTGGTGTTTTAGTTAAAATAACAAGCTGGGAACCATTTTGGATAATTATTCGTTGAAGTAAACTCTATTTTAGGTGCACATACGAAATCACGTCCAGAAAACCAGTTCTGCGTAGGTATACCAGTACAGTAACATCTATGTTATTCTAAACATTGTTCAGTTTGTAAATTTGAAACAGTGAAAAATATCTCGTACGTATGACGCACACATTTCATATAGATTTACATAAAAAATTAAAACACAGTTTCCGATATCGATTTTCTATGTATTACATCAGTACCTTAGTACCTACCTCATAAATATAAGTTTTGAAGAATGCTCCTCTTGCGACCACGAGGTATAAATTTAAAGTTGTTCATATCGCCGATAATACCGTAATATTCTCAGACATCTATAAATGATTCTAGAATCTTCTTCGTCATATAACACAAATACCAACACGTTCTCATATATTTATAGCGTAATAAAATTCATTTTACAACGTTTCTCTTTATTCAATAAAAAACATAAATATTTTTTTTAAGCGAACTAACTAAAAAAGCGTAGAACGAAACGTAACTCTGAATAGAATCACTTCGGAAGCCTCACGCCACTAAACCGTCAAACGACGGTTTTATGATCCCGAATAAAATCTTAAATCAGAATAAAACCTCTGACAAATAAAAACACAAATTCTGACAATTTAAAAAAAAAAGAAAACGATCGAACAACTTCCTGGCTGGACACGTGTTTAAAAATGTTATCTGTCAAAAAATAAGCGCCATAAAATATAGGCAGTGGCGGGCGTGATGCCGGAATTTTAAATCGATTTAGAATCGACTTTTTAGTAATTCAAGTTATGACATAACAAAAAAAATCGAATCAGAATTTATATATTTTTAATCATAATTTTATTTTGAAATTTAATCGAAATTAATGCATCTTTTATCATTTTTAATACTTGCAACTAAAGTACTATTAGAAACATATTCTTGATGCGGTAGGCAGCGGCTTGGCTTTGCCCCTGGCATTGCTGAAGTCCATGGGCGACGGTAACCACTCACCATCAGGTGGGCCATATGCTCGTCTGTCTCCAAGGGCATTAAAAAAAATACAATTGACATATCTCATAATAATATAAAATCTATTACTAAACAAGATCATCTCTAAATTATCAAATCAGTCTTAAAACATAGTCTTTACCGATCTCAAGTATCGATACACGAATGGAACAAAAAACCTTACACCACACGAATAAGCACTGTAATAAAATCGAATCGAAATCTTTGAATTTCAAATTCCTTATCCTGTTTAATTCACCAAATCTCTTATCGTGGTGAATGATCGCATGCATGTGGTTGCGTGTGGACTTGGCGGCGAAGTTCCTATTTCTTTCACGTAATCGTTTTAGAGGGAGCAACATTACGAGCCTACGAAAAAAAAACAGCTTTTAAACTTATAAGATTTGAAGATTATAAGTTTGGATTTCGTGATTATGTTTTTACTAAACGATTGTCAGTGGTATAAAGTATTTTGTAACAATGTTTGAGCGAGTAAAAAGTGAATCTAATTCGTTCGCATTTTAAGAAGGTAATTGAATATTATTTGAGTTGCTCGCGACTTTTGCTGATGCAAGCTTGTAACAAAATTGTAAATTGTAATTTTTAATTACTGAACTGAACTGAATATCCGTCTGCTTGCCCAATTTCGATTCTATCTTTGTAATCAGCTTTGCACGTACTTATTACTTAAAAAAAGTTGAAATTAGTATATTATATTTAGAACCCATAGACATAGCCCATAGAGTTGCAGAATCTACCACCGGATCGGAAACGCGATCCACTGAGAAGATCCGACGAGAAACTATGTGGGCTGTGTCTGTGGTTTAATTTACTTGCCGAGCCCTTCGTCGCAAGCGACGAGTTTGAGGAGAACGATGACCGGTGCTTGGGGTACCTAAAAGCACCGTTAGTGGATCGGGAGGATCCGAGATGACGTGTTTTGGGTGACGTCGACTGTTTACCATTCGCTCCGCAGGATCGGGAATGTAGTTACCGGCGACCACGATGAGAGGTTTTGTAATGTCGTGCCGCTTTCTCGAAATGGCTCACTGATGCACTCTAGGTCCATATCGTCGTGGAGGTCCACGCTTCGGATGAACCATGAGGCTCCGGCGGCTGTCCTGCAAAAACGGGATTGTATTATTTGAAGGGGTTTCAAGTTGGTGCGAGCGAGCACTACACTTGTATAAGTCATTTAACCTTCAGACACAGCCCACTGAGTTTCTCGCCGAATCTTCTCAGTGGGTCGCGTTTCCGATCCGGTGGTAGATTCTGCGAGGCATGGCTCTTGCTAGGGTTCGTGTTAGCAACGTCGTCAGGTTTGAGCCCCGCGAGCTCACCTACTAGTTAAGGTTACGCTGAAATAGCCTCTCAAGGCTATCAGCTTAGGTAGGAAAAAAAAAGTCATGACGGGGCGTATACCAGTTTTTTTGATGTCTTTCGATATATTATCGCAAAGGACGCCACAGTTTGAGAACTAAAATCGAATAATAAAGAACTTTTAATTCGTTGAAGTGTACAACGACGATCAATCTTCTTCCCTCAACACAATGATATGAGTTAATTAATTTAACGGTCGTTTTGTTTATTAGTCTGCTGTATGTAGTTCCCTGGCCACCCGCATTCGTTTTAATTAATTAATAGACGTTAATTGTTTCTGATCTAACATGTAGGTATAGGTGCCGTCTGATTTATGAATGTTTCCTTCAATGATATTGGCTCGCTCTCACGGCTCACATCGTATTTTTTTCATTTCATGTATTCATTTTTTCTTCTTCTTCTTCCAATGCCTCTTCAATCCTGAAGGTTGGCCGTTAGCTTTCTATATTCGTTTTTATCTGCAGCCAGCCGGAACAGCTGTTCGACGGAGGCAATACCGGTCCACTCCCGGATATTCCGGAGCCATGATTTCTTTCTTCGCCCAGCACGTCTCTTTCCGTCCACTTTGCCCATAATTCTCAACTGCAGCAGCATGTATCTATCGTTCCTGAGCACGTGGCCGAGATATTCTATCTTGCGCTTTTTGATAGAAGGCAACATTTTTCGGGACATATGAACGCGCTGAAGCACGGTTTCATTCCTGACCCTCTGCGTCCAACTAATGCGTAACATGCGACGGTAGCACCACATCTCGAATGCCTGTAGGCGTCTTGTAGTGTCCTCTTTCAGGGTCCATTTTTTCTACTTAAATTAAATGTTATTATGTTATCCAGAGAAGCTGAGGAGTGCGCGTTTGGTTTGGTATGGACATGTGATGAGACGAAATGAAAATGAGGTTGGTAAGAGAGTGTTAACTATGAATGTGGAAGGATATAGAGGAAGAGGTAGACCTAAGAAGAAATGGATGGATTGTGTGAAAGACGATATGGGTAAGAGGGGAGTGAGCGAAGAAATGGTATATGATAGAGGAGTATGGAAGGAGAAAACATGTTGCGCCGACCCCAGGTGACTGGGAGAAGGGCAGGATAATGATGTTATTGTGTTGTCCAGTTGTATGAACCTAATAACTAATAAAAAGTGTTTTTGTCACTCACTTTAAGACATGAGGTCTAAATATTAATTGTTATCGAAAGAAATGTTTCACGTGAGCTACGTAAGCTTACAATAAGCCTTACCATGATCTAACACTTGGGCGATCGCAGTGTGTGGGTTTAATAGGCAGCAGCACGTCCTTTCGGATCCGTCAGATCCAATAACCCTTGCATTAGACACCTTTAGCTTTAATACTAGGAGTAGGGTCCCCGGTAACCGTACTCATCGAACTCGGCAAAGAGTTTGACGTGCAACATAACTTAAGCATCAGCCCGCTGAGTTTCACGACAGATCTTCTCAGCGGGTCGCGATTCCGATCCGGTAGTAAATTCATTCGCGAAACAGCTACTCTTGAGTTGTTAGGTCTCCTTTGGAGGCGCTTGGGTAGTTGTTAGCAATTCGCACCCCGCCTGGCTGAGCCTTTGTTCGCCCATCTGCCCTGGTGAAACTGGAAAGGCCTCCGGGCCACCAGTGAATTCTCAAACATTAAAAAAATACACAGAGAAGACTGCAATCCATTCTCCAGCGAATCCCTTTCGAATAACTTTGCCTTTTTGTTATCCCTTCATTAACATGGCCGGTATAGATGAAATCCACTTTACTTTTTATAAGCAGAGTCCTTTTATCATGTGTGCAGTCTTAAAAAAGATTTAAAAAATATAAAATGAATTTTATAACGTGTCCTTATTCAAACGAGGTTTGTGGAGAGTACTTAACGGTAGGCAGCGGCTTGCCTATGCCCCTTAGATTTGCTGACGTCCAGGGGCGACTGTAACCACTCACCATCAGGTCGGCCGTGCGCTCGTTTGCCTACAAGGGTTATAAAAAAAAAACACTGCAGATTTATATATTAGTATAGATAGCACGCATCTGCATATCACACGTGAGGTTACCATTATCAAATAATGTATCTGTATCCCATTACAGACGTTACGGCGTCGTCGACAAGCGGTTCTGTGTGGAAGGCGGCTCGCGGTGCGGTAAAGGCGAGGGTCTATTTGTGTTTGCCGCCGAAGCAGGACGCGAGCTGACCGAACTCCTCAACATTTACAGTCACGACGCCCAATCTAGACTCAGCATGGCTTCTAGAAGTGGATCAGGTAATACGACAACCTTATATACCTAATACACGTAAATTAGTTATTGATAAGTAACTCAAGCACTCAACAAAAATGTTTACGGGCGTCGCCCACTAGATGGCTTCGCTTCGATTAGTTTTTCATTGCTCCTGTAGACGGCAGTAACATATTACCTATCCTATATTTTATTTTTAATGAAGGATTTTGTAAATTGTCATAAACCACAAATTGATAAAATTTTATCAATTTGTCTATAACTGTTGTTGTTCTGTGTTTAGTTATACAATAATTAAATGCCTTAACTTTAACAACATATAAGTTTAGGGGCATCCGCTACAAGATGTCGCTAGTTTTTATACAGAATAATATTTGTCTTAAAGTATCGCAGTTTCAGGGCTCTGACGACAACTTCAGAACTTATTACTTGCTCTATATCTGTCTCACTCCGCTTTGACTGTGGTTAAGTTTATAAACACATTGACTGAAATTAGGTACTTCCGTATATTTTAAGTTACTCTTACGGTATAACGAGTAAGGTTTTTATTCGTGGAATATTGAATATTATGCTCCTCTTCCAATTCTTGACCCAAATAAAAAATAACCCCAGTCCACGTCAGCCCCGCTATTCCTGGCTACGGTAGTGGCGGGGTGAGTCCTCTGTCCAGTAGCGCACGTGGTGGTAAGGGGTATTGTGAGAGCGCGAGTAGGTACCAACATCCTGTCTATTTCTGCCGAGAAGCAGTCACGTGTTCCGCCTTGAACGGTGGGACACTAGTCTTTGACCTCATGTCGCAAGGGAGGTGGTGGACTTCCCTATGATATCTATGGACACCGCTACTACCTACTATCAGGTGGGCCATGACTTCGTTCACTCATATCAAAAGGAACTACTACAAATTTCTGTCGTGAAGCATTAATCGGTTTGAAGGGTCGGGCCGCCGTTGTACTGAAAAAACGGAGTCCTTAGAACTCATATCTCAAGGTGGGTGGCGGCGTTTACGTTGTAGAAGTCTATGGGCTCCAGTAACCACTTAACATCAGATGGCCCGTGATCTCGTCCACCCACCTAAGCAAAAGACAAATACTAATCTAATAAATATGTAATTGTGACCGATAGGATTACGATTGTAATGATATTTGACAGATGCCTGAATCTCGCTTACGAGATTTTCAAGATAAGCTTGCATAATAAATACAAGTTCCGAACAACAACATTCGTACCGTCGGTCTACCGAGCAATATCACCCGCTCGGTGGAGGATCTTCCTGTCGTCATTAATCATCTATACTATCTATACTATATAATATATAATATAATAATATTATAAAGAGGAAAGATTTGTTTGTTTGTTTGTATTGAATAGGCCCCGAAACTACTGAACCGATTTGAAAAATTCTTTCACTGTTTGGAAGCTACACTATTCCCGAGTGACATAGGCTATAATCTTTTTTGAAAAAAAAAATAGGGATTCTTACTAAAACTCCTCCAATAATGTAATCCAAGGTGTAAAAAATTTATCTAGAATATTCTTTACATCGTGTGCCCTGCGAAAACTATTCATGATAGAATAAAATAATATACCACGAATTTGTAGAACACATTATTATTTACAAAAAATTTCGCGACAGCATATGTTTAACTATTATATAAGTAGTTATGCCGCCGCAATAAGCGTTCTTTTATTTAAAAAAATAAAACAACGTCATATATCGTTGAAATTTTTGTTAAAGACCCGAGCGGAGCCGGAGCGGGCCGCTTGTTCCACATAATTTTAAAAGGACGATTTACAGTTTCAGAAAAGCGTTTCTCCGATACAAGCTCGTGCATGGACGAGTGCTTCCACCCGTCGATGAGGTCGGTGTCGCCGTCGTGGGCAGGGCCGGCCAGCCAGACCATGCACTGCCTGTCCGACCTGGACTCGAGCGTGGACGGCAACGAGGAGAAGTTCAGAAGGCCCACGTCCTTGCCGCGCTGCTCGAGTTGCATCGGGAAAATTTGTCATTTGACCAGGTACGTTGCCCTCGACGCAATTATCAATAACATTTTCTATAATAAAATGCACAAATTAAAAAAAAACTCCTATCGTTCATTCATTCATTTATTGGTGGTAGCACGTCTTGTGAGTCCGCACGGGTAGATACCACCACCCTGCTTATTGATGCCGTGAAGCAGTAATGCGTTTCGGCTTGAAGGGCGGGGCAACCGTTGTAACTTTTTTTTTTGTATTGCTTAGATAGGTGAACGACCTCACAGCCCACCTGGTATTAAGTGGTTACTGGAGCCCATAGCCATCTATAACGTAAATGCGCCACCCACCTTGAGATATGAATTCTAAAGTCTCACGTATAATTACAACGGCTGCCCCACCCTTCAAACCGAAACGCATTACTCCTTCACGGCAGAAATAGGCGGGGTGGTGGTACTTATCAAATGCACAAATATGAAAGAACTCCTATCATTAATTCATATTATTTTATTATAATTAATGAACACCCAGACAAGGAGTAAGCAATCGATCACATGAATGTACGCCAGTCTGTACGATGCGGGAATCGAACCCACGACTCTCAGTCCAGCAATAACTACTGTATCACCGAGTCAGTCTCTGAACGTAGGATAAGCCATTTATCATCAACTATCAAATAGCGAACAGAGACTGACTCATCTGTTTCTCCATATTTATTCACTATAAAGCATAATCTATTACAAAAACAAGTAAATGAATTTCACATTCCAGATCATCAACGATGTGCACACCAGGCTCCGTCATGTCTCCAATGTGGACCATGGACAACATTATGGAGAAGCGTTCGGATTCGGACAGAGCCTCGATTTACTCCAGATCCAGTGGGAGCGCTTCTGAATACAGCGTGCCGCGGGGCTCCTGCATCCTGGACAAGAGCTTCGACTCCAAGCGGTCCAGTCCCGTGGGATGCTGCACGCCCACTATCCCCGCCAAGATCGGCTGTCAGTGCTGGCAACAGAAACCCTGTTGCTGCAAGAAGAGGGTCTTCAGTGGACCTTACGAGAACTACGACGTGCCAAAAATTCCTATGCCATTGATACAGGTTTGTGAAATCTTAAATAACGCATAAAGAGAAAAAAATTGACAGAGAGGAAGTGAAAAATAAATAAATAATTTGGTATATTATGTATATATATTTTTTACGTTATCTTACAAAATGGGATTTTCTCAATCATGTATTCATGTGGTATACTCTAAACTCAAAACTAAGAAAAGTACTTCTAATCAATGCATCTGAAAGCAGAAGATTGCAAAGCAGAAAATAAATTAGTGGAAGGCTTTATTTAACACTAACGGACCGCTCCAGCTTTGCTCGGGTCTTTTAAAAAAAAATCTAAATTAAAAATTATAATATACACCGCACACATCAACCCTTCTATTTGCGTCAAGATACTAAAAAAATAAAATAAAAATAATTTGAATATTATTATTATAATGAACTTTTATTTTCATTTAAAATGTTTTTTATCTCTTTTTATTATTTTTCTAATTTTCTTAAAAAGGTCATACATATAAAACAAAAACCATTGAGTTTATTGAGTCAGAGCTTCCCTGTAAACCATATTTGACGTTTTTTAAATAAAATATCACTTATTGTGGCATAACCATAATAGTTAGACGTATGCTGTCGCGACACTTTTTGTAAATAATAATGTGTTCTACAAAGTCATAGTACATTATTTTATTCTATCATCAATAGTTTTCGCAGCTCACGCGATGTACAGAATATTTTGGGAATTTTTTTACACCTTGGGTTACATTATTGGAGTTTTAGTAAGGACTCCTAATTTTATTTATTTATTAATATAGCCTATGACGCTCGGGGATAGTGTAGCTTCGAAACAGTGAAAGATTTTTTCAAATCGGTTCAGTAGTTTCGGATCGCATTCAATACAAACAAACAATCAAATCTGTCCTCTTTATAATATTAACATAGATGATCAGAGCACACTTAATGTGAAGGTTGCGATCCACTCGTCTCCCGTTGGCAGATAATGACCGACATGCGTAACTGTCTGATATTCCAGGAGCACCCGTCCGACGGCTCCGACCCCGCCAGTCTGTATGACACACCAAAGAAACTGAAATGTCTCGTCGGGGGCCCGTGCGGTTGTGGACCAGGCGCCGACCCGCCCGCCAACTACGTCAACATCGAACCAGCCAAACCTGAACCCGTCGACTACGGGAACTACGCCAACGTCGACCTCAGCGCGACCCTCGAAAAATTCGAAAGCTCCATACAGATCCTGAGAAGCGCGGGCTTCAGTCAGGAGGAGCTCGACGCTCTCGAGGACATACCGGAGAACGACGACGATATATCGACGGCGACGAACAACACGGTGCACCAGACGGAGTACGGCAACGACCACGACGACTACATGCAAATGGAGCCGGCAGAAAACAGCTCCTCCAGCCACAGCAACAAGAACTACTCGGACAACCTGAGCCGGACCAGCCACGTGTCGGACCCCACGCACTCCGACCGGGACCCCACGCACTCCGACCCGGACTCCACGCTGGGCGCGCGCCGGTCCAACTCCGTGGACTTCACGAAGAAACACGACGAAGACCGCCTCAGCAGCCGCTCGTGCTTCACGCCGATCGCGCTCAGGAGGACCTGTAAAACTGATAACATGAACGGCGGCTTGCAATACAAGAAATTGGAGATCGTCGAGTCCAAAGACAGGCTGTTCAAGGGATCAGAGTCCAGGACGGAGAATACGCTCGTGGCAAAGTTCAGAGACGCGGTGAAGATAAGGCGGTCCTCCAGCGTGCCCAGCAAGTCCGAAAAGAACAGGGACTCGTCCAGCTCCAACGACTCCGGCGTGTCCACCGGCTCCCTGAAGCACCACAAAGGTAAGGCTCGTTTTGTAACTTGTGACGTCATTGCGATGCTTTCCAATAGATTCACGGTCCAATCGCTGTTAAATGGTTACCATTGCGAATTTCGCCCATATCACCCATTTAGACACGAAAAGCTTCAATATAGAATATTCATACCCCGCGATATTTCTTGAAAACGCGGTAGAACATTCTTTTAGACCATGTGACGTCATTTGTAGCCAAAGCTCATGATAGACTATACACGCGTACACAATTATTATGATACACGTGCGACATCGTGCGGTGCAAGTTCGTGTTTAGTCTGAAAACTATGATGGATTATGATTTTTTTTTATGTCCCCCTTGTGACATACGAACATGAGGCATACGAGCATACGGACCACCGGATTGTGAGTGGTTACCGTTGGCCATGGATTTCAGCAGTGCCAGGGGCAGAGCCAAACCGCTGCCTACCGTTAAGTGCTCTCCACAAGCCTCGTTTGAAGAAGGACATGTCATAGCCCTCGGGAAACACCGTGGAGGGGAGCTCATTCCAAAGTCGCATTTCCACAGTATTGTCTGTTACGTTAATGGAAATCGAACCCGAAAATTGCCATCGCGGTCCCCCAGCTATTCGACCGCGAAACAATGTTGGCAATGTTTGTCTGAGGTTTCTATTCTGTGTTCAACAGGTGATTTTGAATTCGAAACGCCGGTGACCAACTCCAAGTCCGTGAAGAAGCATCTGAAGAGTAAGCAGACGCGGAGGGGCCCTGCCCCGGCGCAGGAGATGATTGTCAAGTCCAACTCCTCGGACCCGCTCAAGAACCTAACGTTCCAGTTCGACGAGGTCGCCACCCTGACCAGGGCTGGCTCGTGCGACGCCGACACTCTGACCAGGAGGAAGAAGAGGAACGGTGAGCATTCTGTCCTCACGATGATAAGATGTCATACGAAACGTCATAATGTGAACTTCGTCACCCACCTTACATATCCTAGAAATGACCCTTATCTACTATATTATGCATATATACTAATTATACCTACTTTGACCATCTATCTACTGCAAAGCATTACTGTCAAGAGTAGTTGTTGTATAACTAAGGTCTCACGTCTCAAGTTAGGTGACGGCTTGCCAACTTGTGATATTTATGTACTTTGGTAATCACTTAACACCAAGAGGTCCGTGAGCTCGTTCACCCGTTCAACCTTACAGCCGTTCAGCCTTGCCTTAAATGAGCAACCGCTAATTCAATATACCTAGTCAGGTCATAAATTCTGTCACATGTTTAATGTAAAATAATTGAAACAAGTTTATTCATTATGTAACCATTCATATACCAAAATGAACTTAACAAAACATAGATTCTTATGACACTAAGGTTTATTCAAAATGACCTCCGTGATTTTGAATACAGGCCTTCAATCTGCGCGGCCAGTCGTCTATCGCAGCACGAACGAGGTCCATGTCAATATCGGCGGCTGCCTTAATCAAGGATGTCTTGAGTGACTCCAAATTGGGATGAGGCTTTGAGCACGCCTTTTCCTCCAAGTGTTGCCATATCTTGTAATCTAACGGATTCAAATCTGGACTGGAGGAGGGCCAGTCTTCGTGCCGGATGAAGTCGATTTCACGCGCCGCCAGCCAGTCTTGTGTGCTCTTCGCTCTATGAGCTGGCGCCGAATCTTGTTGGAATACCCAGTGCCTGTTATTGAACATGGTATGAGAAACAGGTTCCACAAGGTTCGTCAGGACTGTATTTTGATACACAACTGCATTCGTTTTTACACCTTTCTCACAAAAATGTACCTCTGTTAAGCCCCAATAAGAAACTCCCAACCATACCATGAGCGAGGATGGAAAATGACCTCGTTGGACACGCGGAATACGGTTGCTCGCTTCTTCACTACTGTGTGCGTACACCTTATCATTTTGTTTGTTGTAGCTCTCTTCTACGGTAAAAATTTTTTCATCCGAAAAAAGAATTTCCCGATATTTTTTTCCCGCGTACCGCTTCAACAAAGCGCGGCATCTCTTCAGTCTCAGGTCCATTAGACGAGCATTCAAACGATGTCCTGTTTTTCTTCGATATGCCCGAAGCCCTAAGTCTTCATTTAACACCCTTTTCACCGTGGTTCTGCTTAACCCCATCTGAAGGGTCAACAGTTTCTGCTTACGTTTGGGATTTCTTTGAATTCGCGCCTTCACAGCTTTTATCACTGCTGGAGTCCTAACAGACCGAGGGCGACCACTTCTTGACCTGTCATCTACACTAGAGTCTTCATTGTATCGTTTGATGGTACGATAAACGAATCTTTTGGTTATATTCAAACTTTTCAGTATGTTAAAAATTTGAATTGGCGCGTAACCGCAACGATGCAACGCAATAACTGCAACACGGTCTTCTTTAAGTGTCCACTCCATATTTAAAAATGAGTAAAATTCTAAAAGTATACATTTTTATTTTCATGAACAATTCGAAATTCGAATTCAATAAACTTTTTTGTGGCCAGCATTCTAAAAGAAAAGTTTTTACTGTGTGACAATACTTATGACCTGACTAGTTAACTCAGTCCGCGGTCCCCTTCCGCGGAGACCGACGTCGTTGGTCGTCGACTATCGCCTCGACGACCCGTCGGTCGGGCGTCCTCGGGGTGGCGCCGCGTGTCTGGTTGTAGTGTTGACCGCGGGAACCCCCCTACTCTGAACGGGTTCTGACCCCGGACGGAGATCGGACGTCGGGTGTAAGAGTGCAGGGGAGTCGTTTAGTGGGTGGGCCCTAAAATCCTTGGGCCCGCGATCTGCTCTCAACACCTGCAGATCGTTGAGTCTCACATACCCCGCGCGCCCCCTAGGCGCGGGGACCTCGTAGGAGGTTCGGCCCCCGGCCCGAAAAAAAAAAAAAAAAAAAAAAAAAAGTCCGCGGTCCCCTTAATATGGCTTCCCGTCGCCTTCATCAACAAAATAAACACACCCTGTATTTGAACCGTTCCCAAAAATGTAGACAATGACCGATAAACAAACCCCGACTCTACGTTACTGCAGTCAGAACCGTAAGCCACCAGATGACGCCACGTACCATCCGGCTATGGAATGAGCTCCCCTCCACGGTGTTTCCCGAGCGCTATGACATGTTCTTCTTCAAAAGAGGCTTATGGAGAGTATTAAGCGGTAACCAGCGGCTTGGCTCTGCCCCCGGCATTGCTGAAGTCCATGGGCGACGGTAACCACTTACCATCAGGTGGGCCGTATGCTCGTCTGCCTATAAGGGCAATAAAAAAAAAAGATGGGTAGATGATTACATCTGCCTATAACGGCAATTCCAACTCGTATTTCGGCTGACCGGTGGACCGGTCCACCAGTGTGTTTGGGAGTGATCAATAAAATATATGAGAATGTCTCGTGTCCGCAGCGGAGGGCGACGCCAGCGCGCGCCACAGCCAGCTCACCAACAAGAGCACGTCCAGCGGCGCCTCCGACACCTCGGACTACATGGAGTCGCTGTCCGTCTCCTCGTTCAGCTCGTGCGACGCCGCCGCCGAGAGGCACTGCGCCCGGCCCCGCTCCGGCCGCGAGTACGCCAGCGCCGGCCGCGCCGCACTGGCCGCGCTCGCCGCCGCCCCCGCCGACACGCTCCAGTGAATGAGTGCTCATAACATTATCGGGTCGACGGTCCCATTCGAAATTTTGAAATAGTCCGACTGGGGATGAGCGTCCGACTCATCAAAATTTTAATGCATCAACCCGCCGCGCAAGCCGCCGCACTCGCCGCTGCGCCCGCCGACACGCTCCAGTGAGTGAGTGTTCATAACATTATCGGGTGGACGGTACCATTCGAGATTTTGAAAACAGTTCGACTGGGGATGAGCGTCCGACTCATCAAAATGTTAATGCATCAACCCGCCGCGCAAGCCGCCGCACTCGCCGCTGCGCCCGCCGACACGCTCCAGTGAGTGAGTGTTCATAACATTATCGGGTGGACGGTACCATTCGAGATTTTGAAAACAGTTCGACTGGGGATGAGCGTCCGACTCATCAAAATGTTAATGCATCAACCCGCCGCGCAAGCTGCCGCACTCGCCACCGCGCCCGCCGACACGCTCCAGTGAGGAGTGTTCATAACATTATCGGTCCAACTCGCAATTTTGAAAACAATCCGACTTTAATAGGTGAGGTTGGTTAGTGGGATCCGCGTTATGTGCAGGATGAACCTTATGTTTATGATGTACCGTAGATTGAGGGGATCGGGACCCTTTCCAAATCCAACACAAAATTTCAATGGATTTTCTTAGGGTAATATCATTTAAAATTGAGATTAAAATGGTTCCGGACTCTTAAATTTTTATATACAATTTTCATAGTTATTGTACATCGTTCATTACTAAATATACATAAAAACTGAAAAAAAAACCAGCTTAACCCGATTCGCCTTGGCTTTGGGGTGAATCGGTTACGTATGGGAACAATAGAGTTTTTCAATAGGGCTGGCACTATTTAGTTGCTAGGTAGGTACCTAATAAAGTTAGGTAATTAACTTTTTAATATCTTTAATGAGTTACAAACCTTTGATGACTAAATTAAACTATTTTAATTACACTAAATTAAACAAGGTGGGTGGCGCATTTACGTTGTAGATGTCTATGGGCTCCAGTAACCAGTTAACACCAGGTGGGCTGTGAGCTCGTCCACCCATATAAGCAATAAAAAAAAAAAAAAACATTAAACACTAAATAAATTTCAGTTCAACAAAGTAAAATCTAACAACTCCACAAAAGTATTGTGACATCCCAGATTTGTCCCTATTCTAACTCTAGTCTCTATCCCCCCAATCTACTGTGATAGGTAAAAATTAGCTATGTCGATCCAACGTTGGATCGATAATAGCCCTAAGTCTGGCATTACGGGGTACGTATGAGACAAGAAATTCACATCTCCACCCCGGATGTCGAATATCTGAAGAAATCAGACTGGCCGGGCCGAACCCGGAGCCTAAGGTCCATGGGCCAAAATCTCTACCCACTGGACCAATGGAGCGACGACCAAAAAAATACCCAAGTTGAAAATACATTCTAATCATTGGATTTGTTTACGATAATCGATAAAAGGCTTGATATATCCGAAATAACTTAGTAAGTGGTCGGATTACCTACAACAAAGAAAAAATAAGTAATCTGTATTTTTAATTATATAAAGATTATCGTAAAAAAAAAAACTGCCCGTCATTGCCAGTTAGTTTTAAAAGAATTAAAAAGGGAAAATGAAATTTAAAAGTATGAAATCAAAATATTTTTGAAATACATTATGGTATGTACATTTAGTTCATTTCTTGAATTAGAAGAAAGAGAGTGTTTTAATAATTTAGAAATCTTAATTATTATTATTTTTTTAGCGCACGAAATGTTTGAGAATGTTCCATTTCAATAAGGTTTTGATATAAAAAAAACAAATGTACTATAATAATCTAACGCCGCGTTCTTATTATTATATATTATGTGTGTTAATGATAAAATCGCATGCTGTCATTTACAGATAAATAAATTAATATTTTGTAATAAAAGACACTTTTTTTATCGAACTTTATAAAACATATATTTTTTTTAATATTTAAGTCATTTAACCGTGTAAATAAATGTAAATAAAATGCAAATCAAGTTACATATAATTGTTCCTATGTACCTATATTTAGATGTTATAAGTTGTATTTACTTAGTCGTGTAGTAGCGTGCCAAAAAATAGATGGCTATTTAAGGTTTTGGGTACTTTGAAAATTTTTATATGAAAGGATTTTCAAAACGGTTTTGCGTTTACAAATATACAGGATTTATATAAATTTATATAAACTGTAGGACTCATTTATAAATGATGTTCAAAAATATGTATTCATTTACTGTAAATTCTACATATATTATTAATTTCTAAGGGTTTCTTCGTAGTTGGCCGTTTTGGGTACTTAAAATTAATTTGTGCCTTTGAATATTAATATTTTTCATTTATTTTTCGTTACCTTAATATTGTGTAATTATATGGTTGAATAAATGAAAGATGTCAATAAGTTGGTTTTATTTCATTTATATTATTAAACATTGTTATAATATACTAGCTGGCCCGGCAGACTTCGTAGTGCCTCAATCAATAAATAAAAGACACATCAAGGGAACACATCAAGGGAAAAACAAAATTGTTTGTTTTCATATAATTCTGAGCTTTTTTATATTTTCTCACCTTTTAAACCTTCCCTGACTTCCACGAATAATTCAAGACCAAAGTTAGCTAAATCGGTCCAGCCATTCTCGAGTTTTAGCGAGACTAACAAACAGCAATTCCTTTTTATATATATAGATAACGGAAAGGAATTTTGTTCACATCGTAGAGTATAAGTGTGTATGTCTATGTTACATACTTAAACAATTCAATTTGTCTCTATTTACAAAGTAGATCGATTATGGATATAAAATTTTCGCCTAAAAAGTATATGAAAACAAAAAAAACATATTAATAGCAAACCAACATATTTTTTTCCGCATTTTGCGGATAATAACATGTACTTTTAGGTTAGGAATATTGTGTTCTTTTTTTTATAATTTAATAAAGATTATTTAGATATTTTTTTATTGCATTGATGGGTGGACGAGCTCACGGCCCACCTGGTATGTTAAGTGGTTACCGCAGCCCATAGACATTTTCAACGTAAATGAAGCCACCCACCTTGAGACATGAGTAGTAAGGTCTCACTGTTAACAGTACAACGGCTGCCCCACCCTTTAAACCGCAATACTGCTTCACAGCAGAAATAGGCAGGGTGGTGGTACCTGCCGAAGCGAAGCAGCGCCAGTGTAGTGCACTTCGGTGGAAGTTTCATATATCCCAAGCCTTAACGCGTAACAAACACTATGATAAAGATTATTTGAAATACTCTGTTTTTGCTTTGAATGACAAACGAACACAAACCCACGTTTTAAGTGCTACCACCCACCTCGGGACATGAGGTCGAAATATCTCTTTTTTTTATTGCCTAGATTGGTGGACGAGCTCACAGCCCACCTGATGTTAAGTGGTTACTGGTGCCCATAGACATCCACAACGTAAATGCGCCACCCACCTTGAGAGGTAAGTTCTAAGGTCTCAAGTTTAGTTACAACGGCTGCCCCACCCTTCAAACCGAAACGCATTACTGCTTTACGGCAGAAATAGGCAGGGTGGTGGTACCTGCCGAAGCGAAGCAGCGCCAGTGTAGTGCACTTCGGTGGAAGTTTCATATATCCCAAGCCTTAACGCGTAACAAACACTATGATAAAGATTATTTGAAATACTCTGTTTTTGCTTTGAATGACAAACGAACACAAACCCACGTTTTAAGTGCTACCACCCACCTCGGGACATGAGGTCGAAATATCTCTTTTTTTTATTGCCTAGATTGGTGGACGAGCTCACAGCCCACCTGATGTTAAGTGGTTACTGGAGCCCATAGACATCCACAACGTAAATGCGCCACCCACCTTGAGAGGTAAGTTCTAAGGTCTCAAGTTTAGTTACAACGGCTGCCCCACCCTTCAAACCGAAACGCATTACTGCTTCACGGCAGAAATATGCAGGGTGGTGGTACCCACCCGCGCGGACTCACAATAGGTCCTACCACCAGTAATTACTCAAATTATAATTTTGCGGGTTTCATTTTTATTACACGATGTTATTCCTTCACCGTGGAAGTCAATCGTGAACATTTGTTTAGTACGTATTTCATTAGAAAAATTGGTACCCGCCTGAGATTCGAACACCGGTGTATCGCGCTCAACACGAATGCACCGGACGTCTTATCCGTTAGGCCACGACGACTGTCGTGTGTCTCTTTTCTCAGTTGACCCACCCTTCACCGCCCACCTATCTTTGCGGCAGAAATAGGTGGACGACAGGACATATCCGCGCAGGTTGGTAAATCATATAAAAAAGCTATAAATTTTCATGGTTACTATTACAATCTAACATAAAGGAAATCGATTTTAAGCACGAAAAGTAAAAGCAAATCATTATTGTAATTCAAGTTTTTTTATTCAAAGCCACAATTCAAAATCATTTCTGATGCCCATTCAATTGCCCAATCAATATAAACGGCCGTCTGGTGTAGTGGTAAGTGACATGGTCACTACACAAGGGGGTCGCGGGTTCGAATCCCGCCAAGGGAAGATATTTGTATGATAAATATAAATGTCTTTTCCAGGGCTATGGATGTATATTAAATATATGTATGTGTATAATAAAAATCTTACTTTTATATCCGTTATCTGGTACCTGTAACACAAGTTCTTTACGAACTTATCACGGGACCAGTTAACGTGGCGTGATTGTTAGTAAATATTTATTTATTTATTTATTTAATTAACATTCGAATATAGGGACACAGACATTGTCCGAATTGAAAACGAGTGCGCCTTTACAATGGCACCTTCCTTGTATTCCTGTTATGCAAGTGTTTTCGCCATATGGATCATCGCACGTTCTTGGGCAGGGGAAGTCAACGACCTCAGTGTTTTCCGGACATTCTTGACCTGGAGACAAAATTTATTTTTCAGCGTGTGACTCCTAAAGACTGCCTTTTCGGTCAAGCGGCCTTTAAACATACAATTTGAGCTCTGATTCTCGATTAAGGGCTAAAAACAAAAACACCTATTCGAACATTTTCATTTCCGATCTCATTTCCGAACTTACCATTTAAATCTACAGTGCTACGAATAAATAATAAGTTAGGAAACGTAACTGCGCTCTAAAAATAACCCAACAAAAGTCGTGTCCAAGTAGGCGGTGCTTAAAAGTCGTGTACACCGCTTCATTAGTCGGATATTGTTCTTGAAAGCGAGACTTATTATTTATTCGTAGCTACAGTGTGCTTATTGCCAGTTTTCTAACGTTTTCGATAGCTAACTCAAATTTGTATGCAGTTGGAACAGCGCCCCTAGCGGCAAACGCAGGCTAACGTTCCAACTCCGTTCTGTTTGACGAAGGCTTAAGATATTTGATTATTTAATTTTTAGTGTTTTTTATGACCCGGTAACTAATACCTTTAGGTCATGTCTTATGTTAATTGTTGAAATAATTTTAAATTTGGCGCCTTATAACTCAATATGAATATGACATGATATATAGTCTATGGCACTACTTCTCTCTCTACTCCGTGACATCCACCGCATTGTATTTTCATCTACATTTAAATATTAAATAAATACAAAGTATAACTTAGTGTTATTTATTTAATCTAACAGGTTATGGGCCCAGTAAAGCCNTTGTGCAATGAACACTCTATTTATGTGACTAGAATTTCCCCAGAGGGGTATACAGTATCTGATATTTGAGGCGACATATCCATGATAGGCCTGTAATGCAGTTTTTAAATTACATATTTTTGTAAGTCGCCAAAGTGCATATGAGAATCGATTAATTTTACTACAAGTAATATCTATGTGAAGATTCCAGCTACATTGATTATCCACATGATATATAGTCTATGGCACTACTTCTCTCTCTACTCCGTGACATCCACCGCATTGTATTTTCATCTACATTTAAATATTAAATAAATACAAAGTATAACTTAGTGTTATTTATTTAATCTAACATTAATTTATATTCTTAATTTTTTGAAAAATGATATTAAGGTGTGAAATGAAATGAAATGAAATGAAGATGATTAATTTGAGACACTAATCAACTGGAATGAAATTAAATGAGATGATATGGGATGACATTTAATCTCAGTAAAATGGTAGTCATGTACTGAGATTTGTTCAGTGGACTTTTTGGAGGATCCCGAGAAGTTACGTCCAGCGACTTTGTTTCATTTTCTCACATTTGTGCACTTTCACAGATACTAAAAAGTTAATAAACCACCGTTATTACACATTTAAACTTGAAGAAACACTAAATAGGCAAAATAAAACAAATCACACAACTTCACTCCTCGCGTTCCCTCTCGCCAAAAAGCCTAAGATATTTGACAGACGAATTGATAATTTTAAAGTGCTTGTGAAGTATTGTAAGTGTTCTATGTGTTAATACACTTTTAGTTGTACTTCGGTGGAACATTTATTTATCCCGAACCCCTGCGCGTAATAATATAAAGATAGAAGATGGGACTATTACCATGTTCAAATTTAATAGGCAGGTAATTTTTTTTTCGAAAATATGTACATATTGTGTAAACCGTACTCACCGACCTCACGAGCGACATCAAGACGATGGAATCATCGCAAACTTACTAGCACAATTCAAAAAGAAGCAGAGCAAGTTAGTGTATTTTATTTAAAAGATAACTTGAATGCGGTTTCTTGTGTAGTTTTTTTATTATAGTACTAGCTGACCCGGCAGACTTCGTAGTGCCCCAATCGATAAATAAAAGACCTAAACTTTTGTATAAAATAAACTTAAAACAAACCAAAGGAATCCGTCCGACGTCACACGTCAAAGGGAAAACAAAAATTGTTATTTTTATTTAATTCTGAACATTCTCATATTTATCTACCCTTTAAACCTTCTCTGGACTTCCACAAATAATTCAAGACCAAATGGTTCAGCCGTTCTCGAGTTTTAGCGAGACTAACGAACAGCAATTCATTTTTATATATATAAGATTATTGTTTATCTCGGCTATAATCTTTGAACAAATTATTTGACGAAGTCTTTTATCTTATCTTCTTCTGGTTACTTGAAAGATACAATTCGGAAACGTTGTTATCATGACAGAATCTTTGAACGTCATTATCACCGATTTCAAGACATCTGTGTGCTAAGTCCGAGTTTTAAGCGTTTTTTTTTTTTATTGCTTAGATGGGTGGACGAGCTCACAGCCCACCTGGTGTTAAGTGGTTACTGGAGCCCATAGACATCTACGACGTAAATGCGCCACCCACCATGAGATATAAGTTCTATGGTCTCAAGTATAGTTACAACGGCTGTCTCACCCTTCAAACCGAAACGCATTACTGCTTCACCGTGGAAATAGGCGGGGTGGTGGTACCTACCCGTGCGGACTCCCAAGAGGTCTTACCACCAGTAAATAGCGTTAATTCAAATTTGTATGGAGTCGGAACGTTTGCCTACGTTTGCCGCTAAGGGTGCTGATTCGACTCCATAAAAATTTGAGTTAACTTTTACGCTATCGAGAACGTCAAACTACTCTCACCAAGCACACAGATCCACTTGAAATTTTGTACAAACATTATGGACCGAAGGCAATACAAAAATTTTGAGTTCACAATAAACTATTTAAGTGTGATTTTTTAGTTTTTAAACTAGAGATATTTACTTGGGAAATAAACTGTACATAATATTATACATAGTACATCCACATAACGCGCTTTTAAAATTGAAGTGGCTAAATTCAAAATTCTTGTTTTTTTGGTAAACGCCGAAAATATACTTACGAGTAAATGAAGAAGTCGTCGTGGCCTAAATGATAAGACGTCCGGTGCATTCGTATATAGCGCTGCAACGGTGTTCGAATCCCGCAGGCGGGTACCAATTTTTCTAATGAAATACGTACTCAACAAATGTTCACGATTGACTTCCACGGTGAAGGAATAACATCGTGTAATAAAAACCAAACCCGCAAAATTATAATTTGCGTAATCACTGGTGGTAGGACCTCTTGGGAGTCCGCACGGGTAGGTACCACCACCCTGCCTATTTCCGCCGTGAAGCAGTAATGCGTTTCGATTCGAAGGGTGGGGTAGCCGTTGCAACTATACTGAGACCTTAGAACTTATATCTCGAGATGGGTGGCGCATTTACGTTGTAGATGTCTATGGACTCCAGTAACCACTTAACACTAGGTGGGTTGTGAGCTCGTCCATCCATCTAAGCAATAAAAAAAAAAAAAGAAGAATTGTTATTTTTAATTTTTTCGATTTTAATACTTTAAGGTTATGCGTTTTATTTTAAAAGAGACGGAAAGAGTACTTTGTCCTTTTCTAGACTAAAAGAGATTATAATTCAAAGTATTGAGGCCGGTACGTATTTTGCACAAAGAATTAGCATTGCTATCGAGCGTGGAAATGCTGCCAGCCTTCTGGGAACTCTGCCAACCGGCGGTGAGCTAACGCAGATTTTCTATTTATAAGTTTTATAAGCTTTACCTAAATAGTAATTATTTTTATATTCATTTATTAGATATAATTAGATTATTGTTTAAGTTTCATTTTGTTTTTATTATATAATTCAAAGTTCAAAGTATACAGCTCATTTTCTTAAAAGTTTTAGTTAAGCTACTTCAATTCTAAAGATCCGAATAAGTTAAATGTACCTAGTTACAACAGACACAAAAAAGCGCCATAATTAAGAAAACACGTGAGCAAACAGTGAATATGAATTCAAATAATTAACATAACCATATTGATGATTCAAATTTACGAATATGTACTATATGAGGGAAAAATTCATAAATTAGTCTTGTCTTGTGTAAATTAATAAATAATGGATGCAAGATCTGAAGTAAATGAAATAAATAAATGTTGTAAAGAACCCAGTCTTAGTAGTCTATTTGATGCATATAATATTTGGCTACTCAGTAGCCTACGATTGGCCAGAGAAATAAACGTTGACTGGTCTGACGACTGCAAAGTCGAAGTAGACTAAGCGATACGAATTTATAAAAAAAAAAAAAAAAAACAACGAATATTATATGAATCCTACAAACCGTTTAACATTACAACGACTCTTGAAAACCCCAATCGTACGCTTCATACGAATAAATAATGAATTAATTTAAATATACAAACCTGCTACATTCGTAGCGAACAAAGCGAATATTAAAAACAATACAAACAGATTCTTCGAAGCCATAGCTGCGTAGTTTATACCAACTTCCTCTCTAGACGCTCCGCACGATACTAAACTAAAAATGACAAATTCAAACGCTTTTTATACTACCTAGTCAGGTCATAAATTCTGTCACATGTTTAATGTAAAATAATTGAAACAAGTTTATTCATTATGTAACCATTCATATACCAAAATGAACTTAACAAAACATAGATTCTTAGGACACTAAAGTTTATTCAAAATGACCTCCGTGATTTTGAATACAGGCCTTCAATCTGCGCGGCCAGTCGTCTATCGCAGCACGAACGAGGTCCATGTCAATATCGGCGGCTGCCTTAATCAAGGATGTCTTGAGTGACTCCAAATTGGGATGAGGCTTTGAGCACGCCTTTTCCTCCAAGTGTTGCCATATCTTGTAATCTAACGGATTCAAATCTGGACTGGAGGAGGGCCAGTCTTCGTGCCGGATGAAGTCGATTTCACGCGCCGCCAGCCAGTCTTGTGTGCTCTTCGCTCTATGAGCTGGCGCCGAATCTTGTTGGAATACCCAGTGCCTGTTATTGAACATGGTATGAGAAACAGGTTCCACAAGGTTCGTCAGGACTGTATTTTGATACACAACTGCATTCGTTTTTACACCTTTCTCACAAAAATGTACCTCTGTTAAGCCCCAATAAGAAACTCCCAACCATACCATGAGCGAGGATGGAAAATGACCTCGTTGGACACGCGGAATACGGTTGCTCGCTTCTTCACTACTGTGTGCGTACACCTTATCATTTTGTTTGTTGTAGCTCTCTTCTACGGTAAAAATTTTTTCATCCGAAAAAAGAATTTCCCGATATTTTTTTCCCGCGTACCGCTTCAACAAAGCGCGGCATCTCTTCAGTCTCAGGTCCATTAGACGAGCATTCAAACGATGTCCTGTTTTTCTTCGATATGCCCGAAGCCCTAAGTCTTCATTTAACACCCTTTTCACCGTGGTTCTGCTTAACCCCATCTGAAGGGCCAACAGTTTCTGCTTACGTTTGGGATTTCTTTGAATTCGCGCCTTCACAGCTTTTATCACTGCTGGAGTCCTAACAGACCGAGGGCGACCACTTCTTGACCTGTCATCTACACTAGAGTCTTCATTGTATCGTTTGATGGTACGATAAACGAATCTTTTGGTTATATTAAAATTTTTCAGTATGTTAAAAATTTTAATTGGCGCGTAACCGCAACGATGCAACGCAATAACTGCAACACGGTCTTCTTTAAGCGTCCACTCCATATTTAAAAATGAGTAAAATTCTAAAAGTATACATTTTTATTTTCATGAACAATTCGAAATTCGAATTCAATAAACTTTTTTGCGGCCAGCATTCTAAAAGAAAAGTTTTTACTGTATGACAATACTTATGACCTAACTAGTTATTTACCGGTTGTACGTAATATTGCAGTATGTGTATTTATGTACCGCGGCCACAATAGCAACGCGGAACGCGAACAAACCAATTGAATGAATGACTTATCTAAGATCGCAGAAGATCGCTTCGAACCAGACTCTCTTCGCTGTACCATGAGTATATATTCGGTCTGTACGAGAAGGGTCTGGCCTTGAGCGATCACGGGAGCCCTTGAGTAACGCAATTTGAAACTGGGCGCCTCCATTCAGTGTTTTTCTTTGATTTTTCTCGTACTGATGTGTGACCTGAAGAGCAGGATTACTGAAGAGCGTTGCAAGGGAGTCAAAAAATATACACGTAGAAAAGTGCCACCATCGTTATTTTATGGTAGAAATAAAAGGCTTTTGTGTAGGAGACAAAAAAATACGGTACTTTTTTCCTCTTATCCTATTTATTTATCAATTTTGAATAGCAAACCGATGTTTTTATGTACATAATAGTGGTGTTCTTTTTGTGTACTATTTATATGTGTATTAGTTAAAATTGTAAACGCTAAATATCATTCAATACACCTTTAAGAACCTCGTTAATTCGAATAAAAATAAATAATCACCTATAACGGCTAATGCTCAAGAAGACTTCCAAAAAGTATCCCGGGGAAACCTAGCGTGAAGACAATGCAATCTATCTGTCGTCAACGATTTAAAATACAAAACATGTGATCATTACACGTGCGATCTTATTCTGATAGAGTTATCCGATCTTATTACCAGCCCGGTCAGAGAGTGTTGCCCCGGGGCCCGACCCGCGTCCTCGTAAGGGGACACGACGACCCGACGAACTTAATGTGCGCCGCTTTTGTTGCTCCAAAGCGGCTGAACTGATAATGAGTGGTAGCTGTTGGTATAATTATTGACCCATGTAAAGTGTTGAGTGTAAGTTTTGTTGTAAAATAACTATAACTAGTGGCCCCGCAGTAGTCGAAATTCGACTCTAATTAATTGAAATTATAAGGTTTAAATATTATTATGGTTCTATTGTCAAACAGTATTATAAATCGATAATATAATCACAGTATTCGCCAAAACTGCACTATAGATCAATAACATTAAAGACAAACAATATTAATCTATTTTCAATTCGACCACAGACTTTAAACAATAACAAAAGTTTCCCAATTGACAGTAAACAAAGAGTATATTTTTATGTGTGTGTTGTGTCAAATGCATGGTAGTGTGTGTAATGTTTTCATTATTGATTTAAAGTATATTTTATGCATTATTTAAAAAAAATATTAGCATTGTGCACTCCTTCTCTATATTCTCTATAAGTGTGGAAAATTTCATACTCCTCGGTCCGCGCAATTTTCGTAAAAAGGGATACAAAGTTTTTGCTTCACGTATTAATATATAGATATAAAATTTAACGTGTTAAAATTAAGACAATTTTCGGATTGCCATATGCCAAGTGTTAGGTATATATAAGTACATAATACAAGTTCCCAAGATATTATAAATACATAAATTATAATAAAGTCTGCTGCCGTGTAGACTTAGCTGCTACGCATAGGCGATGATTTTATCGATTGTATTATATTAAAACTCAATAATATGTAAAGTATTTGACTAAATAACGCATATGTGTAAAACTAACCTAATTATTCCTGGAAGTAGATAATAGTACCTCACATATAATTAAATGAATTTATATTAATAATAATTTTAAATAACTATTAGTATAGTTTAATAAAATAAAAAATAATAAAAATATTGTATAATTATACTATATTTTATTATACAACGTTACTATATATTACTGTTATTATTGCACCACCATTAATTACGTTATGGTGGGGCAATCGGTAATATATTCGAGCGCAAGGATAAGACGTCCGGTGTATTCGTATCGAGCGATGCACCGGTGTTCGAATCCCGCTGGCGGGTACCAATTTTTCTAATGAAATACGTACTCAACAAATGTTCACGATTGACTTCCACGCTGAAGGAATAACATCGTGCAATAAAAATCAAACCCGCAAAATTATAATTTGCGTAATTACTGGTGGTACGACCTCTTGTGAGTCCGCACGGGTAGGTACCACCGCCCCGCCTATTTCTGCCGTGAAGCAGTAATGCGTTTCGGTTTGAAGGGTGGGGCAGCCGTTGTGACTATACTGAGACCTTAGAACTATATCTCAAGGTGTGTGGCGCATTTACGTTGTAGATGTCTATGGGCTCCAGTAACCACTTAACACCAGGTGGGCTAGGAGCTCGTCCGCACATCTAAGCAATAAAAAAAAAAAAAAAACATCGGGGTAGCATTCATGCCCACTGAGTTTCTCGCCGGATCTTCTCAGTGGGTCGCGCTTCCGATCCGGTGGTAGATTCTGCAAAAAAGTGTAAACACGATCACTGTAAATTACTCCCATAAGTGAAAAGTGTTTTTTTTTTTATTGCTTAGATGGATGGACGAGCTCACAGCCCACCTGGTGTTAAATGGTTACTGGAGCCCATAGACATTTACAACGTAAATGCGCCACCCACCTCGAGATATAAGTTCTAAGGTATAGTAATTCAGTATAGTAATAGTAATAAATACAAGTTAGTGTAAAGTGACGTATTATTTAATTCCCGCTGACCTAAGCCCTTTACAAGACTGCTAGTGGGAGCAACGGCTCGGCTGGTGGGATCGATCTACATTAAAAACGGCGGAGAACGAAGTAGAGCGGGTAGTCAAGAAAAAAACGTGGAATGAATGGAATGAAACATGGAATGAATTTTAAAAGTGGAATTTAAAATAAATCAGTACAGAACATAGATAATACACATAAATTAGTTATAGATAAACAACTCAAGCGCTCAACAAAAATGTTTACGGGCGTCGGCCACTAGATGGCTTCGTTGCGATTTGTTTCTCATTGCTCCTGTAGATGGCGGTAACAAATTACCTATCCTATATTTCATTTTTAATGAAGGATTTTGTAAATTTTCACATACCACTATTTGATAAAATTTAATCAATTTGTCTATAACAAATAAAGACTTGTATGATTTATTAATTTTTAATTTTCTCTGTTTAGCTACACAATAATTAAATACCTTAACTTTAACAACATATAAGTTTATGGGCACTCGCGATAAGATGTCGCTAGTTTCTATACAAAAAAAAATGTCTTAAAAAACGCAGTTTCAGGGCCCTGGTACAAAATTTAAATGAACTACTGCAGTCTGTATATTGTTTCCTTTCTGGTGGAAGTGTAGTTTTTTACGTGAGCTTACAATCAATTAAAGATTTTGGTGTTCGATTTCTTGGAAAATAAAAGAAGTATGATCCAGATCTTTGGGCAAGAAAGCGAGTAGCTAATTCCTGTGTTTTTTTTATTTTTTTGTTTTGTTATTTTCATGTTTCAGTTTTAAGCATGTAATAATATAATAATTGTAAATAGACATGCTTTAACAAAACCCGACTTCAAATAGAAAAAAAAGATATTCCAAAACAAATTAATATACACTAAAAACAATAACCATCGAAATCGGTTGGCGTGATATTGAGTTATTCATCTATTTGTCGCGCACGTGCTTAAGGCAAATTTAAGACTTACATGGTTTTCTCATGGATACCGTTATCAGAACTGGACTAAATAAAATGGGACCACACGAGAAGCGTCAGCTTTCTAATAAAAAAAGAATCATCAAAATCGATTCACCCAGTCAAAAGTTATGGGGTAACAAACATAAAAAAAACATACAATCATCAATCAAGAATTGAGAACCTCCTCCTTTTTTGAAGCCGGTAAAAAATTTAATAGAGCATGGAAAAATACGTTTCAGTAACGTATTTTTCCTTAAAATTCTTTTTTTAACAATATTTTTTCAAGATAATTACATCCGTTCGATGCGGTGACATCTTTCAAGGTTTTTTTAAGACGGAACAACAAATACCTATGTTGTTTTAAAAAAAATAAAACTGGCTTTTATAACGTTTGGGTTGTTTTGTACTATTAAATTGTTTGTTTTTGAAGTATTATAATACAATATTATATAGTTTTAATTATTCCTATTAGATGGCAGCAATGTATACATAATAGTGGTAGATATATTGATAAAATAAATGTGTTAAATGAAAAAAAAAAAAACAATTTCAAATTTTCAGCAAAAATCGGCAATTACATACTTTAACCCCTAATATCAATAAACGAATGATAAATTTATTAACTAGTGATCTCCTGGTAATCGTAATTCGACTATAATTAATTGAGATGATAAGTTTGTATATTATACACTATTATGATTCTATTGTCAAGACTTCTACTTCAAAGAATTCTATTTCTTCACAGATGTTGCTAAGACTACACTTTAGACATTTTACAAACAATAAATATTTAATCTATTCTCAATTTGACCACAGACTATAAGCAATAGGAAAAGTTTGACAATAAACAAATGGTATGTATGCGTGTGTGTGTCAAATATATGGTAGTGTATGTAATATTTTCTTTATTGATTTAATGTATATTTTATGCATTATTTAAAAAAAAAATTTGCATTGTGCACTGCTTCTCTATATTCTCTAGTAGTGTGAAAAATTTCATACTCCTCCGTAAGCGCCATTTTCGTAAAAAAGGGGTACAAAGTTTTTGCTTCGCGTATTAATATACCTATAGATATATATTTTGCCACTCAATGGAAAAAATAAAGAAGGTATTTTACTTGTGGTAGGACGTATTGTAAGTCGGCACGGGTAGGTACCACCACGCTTCCTATTTCTCTATTTTTGCCGTGAAGCACTAATACATTTCGGTTTGAAGGGTGGAACAGCCGTTGTAACTATACTGAGACCTTAGAACTTATATCTTAGGGTGGGTGGCGCATTTACGTTTTAGATGTCTATGGACTCCGGTAACCACTTAACACCTTTTTTTTTTTAACCTATGCTGATAGCCTTGAGAGGCTATTTAAGCTTCGCCCTAACGTTTGTAGGTGAGCTCACGGGGCTCAAACCTGACTACGATGCTAACACGAACCCTAGCAAGAGCAGTGCTTCGCAGAATCTACCACCGGATCGGAAACGCGACCCACTGAGAAGATCCGGCGAGAAACTCAGTGGGCTGTGTCTGCGAGTTAATTTGCTCGTCGAGCCCTTCGTCGCAAGCGACGGGTTCGACGAGAACGGTGACCGGTGCTTGAAGTACCTAAAAGCACCGTTAGTGGATCGGGAGGATCCGAGATGACGTGTATGACGTACTTAACACCAGGTGGGCTGTGAGCTCGTCCAGCCACCTAATAAATAAATAAATAAAACAAAACGTATACTGTATTTGACCAAAACAAATGTCAACGTAACCAATGATTTCTGTGTGTCGTGTATATTAAATTTAGTTAAAACCCCATTTTACGACTTAAGCACGCCTGTATTTTCGTGTCAAAATTTATTATTCAACAAAATGAAATGGATTACGATAAACCGTTGGGCGGTACTTGGTCGGATAATGAAGTATCGATGAACAATTTTATTTTATTTTTATTGCTTAGGGACGAGCTCACGGCCCACCTGATGTTAAGTGGTTACCGGAGCCGATAGACATCTACAACGCAAATGCCGCCACCTATCTTGGGATTTACTGGTGGTAGGACCTCTTGGGAGTCCGCACGGGTAGGAACCACCACCCCGCCTATTTCCGCCGTGAAGCAGTAATGCGTTTCGGTTCGAAGGGTGGGGTAGCCGTTGATACTGAGATCTTAGAACTTATATCTCGAGGTGGGTGGCGCATCTACGTTGTAGATGTCTATGGGCTCCAGTAACCACTTAACACCAGGTGGCCTGTGAGCTCGTCCATCCACCTAAGCAATAAAGAAAAAAAATGAGTTCTAAGGTCTAAGTTTTTACAGTACAACAACTGCCCCGCTCCTTAAGCCGAAATGCGTTACTGCTCCACGGCAGAAATAGGGCTACCCGTGTGGACTCATAAGACGTCCTACCACGTAAAGTATCTTATTTTTTTCATTTTTTTTTATTGTCTTTTTTTATGGGTGGACGAGCTCACAGCCCAACTGGTGTTAAGTGGTTACTGGAGCCCATTGATGGCGGCTTTGCCTTTACTCGTCAACTGTGTGCTTAGTGCCAGTTTTCTAACGTTCTCGATAGCGTAAAAGTTAACTCATATTTGTATGGAATGGGATCGTTTGCGTACGTTTGCCGCTAGGGGCGCTGTTCCAACTGCACACGAAATTGGGTTAACTTTTACGCTATCGAGAACGGTAATGAACTCGCACTAAGCACACCGGATCGGATAAATAGGACGCTAATTACTATATCGAACACCATCCCGACAGGAGCCCTCTTCTTCGATATAGCGATGGCGTTCGATAAAGTCTGGCACAACGGTTTGATATACAAACTGTATAAAATGGGAGTGCCAGACAGACTCGTGTTCATCATAGGAGACTACTTGTCGATCCGTTCGTTCCGATATCGAGTCGAGGGAACGCGCTCCCGCCCCCGTCACGTCACAGTCAGAGTCCCGCAAGGCTCCGCCCTCTCCCCGTTACTGTTCAGTTTGTATATCAATGATATACTCCGGTCTCCGGAGACCCATCTGGCGCTCTTTGCCGATGACACGGCTATTTACTACTCGTGTAGGAAGAAGTCGTTGTTACATCGGCGACTTCAGACCGCAGCTACCACCATGGGGCAGTGGTTCCGGAAGTGGCGCATCGACATCAACCCCACGAAAAGCACAGCGGTGCTCTTCAAAAGGGGTCGCCCTCCGAACGCCACGCTGAGCATCCCTCTCCCGACTAGGCGCGTCAACACCTTCGCCTCCGCCATTCGCCCAATCATGATGTATGACCAGCCCATACCGTGGGCCCGAAGGTCAATTACTTAGGCGTCACCCTCGACAGAAGGATGACATTCCGCCCCTATATAAAGACGGTACGCGACCGTGCCGCCTTCATACTAGGACGTCTCTACCCGATGATATGCAGGCGAAGTAAAATGTCCCTTAGAAATAAGGTGACACTCTACAAAACTTGCATACGCCCCGTCATGACCTATGCAAGTGTAGTGTTCGCTCACGCGGCCCTCACTCACTTAGAATCATTCAAATTATTCAATCCCGTTTTTGCAGGATAGTCGTCGGAGCCCCGTGGTTCGTCAGGAACGTCGACCTCCATGACGACCTGGACTTAGTAGTCTTAGTCGTAGTAGGACTTAGTAGTAGTCAATCAGTAAGTATTTACAGTCGGCGTCGATGCGCCACTTCGATAAAGCGGCACGACACGAGAACCCTCTCATCGTGGCCGCCGGTAACTACATTCCCGATCCTGCGGAAAGAATGAAAAGCAGTCGACGTGGCCCCAAACACGTCATTCCGGATCCTCCCGATCCACTAACAGTGCTTTTAGGTACCTCAAGCACCGGTCATCGTTCTCGTCGAACACGTCGCTTGCGACGAAGGGCTCGACGAGTAAAGTAACCCACAGACACAGCCCACTGAGTTTCTCGCCGGATCTTCTCAGTGGGTCGCGTTTCCGATCCGGTGGTAGATTCTGCAAAGCACGACTCTTGCTAGGGTTCGTGTTAGCAACGTCGTCAGGTTTGAGTCCCGTGAGCTCACCTACTAGTTAAGGTTACGCTGAAATAGCCTCTCAAGGCTCTCAGCTTCGGTAGGAAAAAAACATCAAACAAAGCGGGAACTTTTAACACTTGTGCAACTATCTTACTTCAATATCTTCGATTCGGTTCGAAATGAAAAAACCATTTTATATTTTTGCTTTTAAATTAATGATTTTAATATTGAATCCAACAACAATTAATTCACTGCTCGTGTAAAATTTCATATTAGTTCAGCCTCGTTCCAGTTTGATTATTCAAGTGTTTTTGTTTTAACTATGTTATTTTGTATGTCACGGTAATGTTTTTTTTAATTAAGCACGAATAAAACAAGGGCACACGTCGCTTTGACGATGGCTTAAAACATGACTTACCTGTGTTTTTTTATTTAAATGATTATTATGAAATGCTCTAAATGGGTCAACCACAGTCATTAGTATATAGTAGATACTAGAGCACACAGACATCCTGATTACGCCACCTACCCCGAGATATGAGGTCGAAGAAGCAATATCTTTGTATCTCTGCATGGAAATATTTCCGAATACAACAAAATTTACCTCTTTTAAATTAGTATAAAATTTAATTAATCTAGTGCAAACATTAATATTATTTATACGTATCATTTACACATCGAACATCACTAAACACTACACAAACACAGCAGCGCGTGCATACAAAATAATATATAAAGGCACCGCGTATTATTACCGAACTTATTCGCAGAATATCGTCAAGATGGCCGCCAAACATAACTTCCCCATGCTCCTGCTCGTATCCCTGATGGCTCTCGCAGCCAGCCAGGGTTCGGTTGAAAAAGGTGAGTAATTATTTTCACTTATTTTCAATTTATTTATTGATACCGTTATCTCGTTTTTACCGTCGCACCGCCCGCCACCGGAGTAGAGTTCATCCATACTACCTGGAGCCACTGCGGTCGTCCACAGTGCGTTTCCAGAGGTATTTTTGGCCACGTACCATCCGGCTATGGAATGAGCTCCCTTCCACGGTGTTTCCCGAGCGCTATGACATGTCCTTCTTCAAACGAGGCTTGTGGTATAGTATTAAGCGGTAGGCAGCGGCTTGGCTCTGCCGCTGGCATTGCTGAAGCCCATGGGCGACAGTAACCGCTCACCATCAGGTGGGCCGTGTGCTCTTCTGCCTACAAGGGCAATAAAAATAAATAAATAAAACTTCATAGGGCTCCATCAGAATAAAGTTACAGATTAAACACAAGTTTTTTTTTATAGCCCTCATAGTCGGCAATAAAAAAAAGTTGGATTGGTTATCATTGCTCGTGAACGATAGCAATACTGCGACGTTTCACAACGCCCAGAAAACATCGTAGAGGTAAATTAATCGGCATTGAATGCAGTGTTTCTAGATATGGATAAACCGCTCTCGTGTCGTGAATTGCGATGGTAAAAACGAGATAACAGGATTGTCTCAAATGAGTGTAGGTACTCACGATTAATACGAAAGAAAATAACTAAACATTTCGGTGATTACTTGTGGTGGGGCAGTATTGAGAACCAGCACGAGCTATCCTCAGTGGCGGATTTACCCTAAGGCCCCGGCCTATGGCGGCCAGGTTTAGTGGCGGCCCCAATCGTGTCAAAAAACTTATTATAACGTATGGCGGGCGGACTGCACTGCGTGGTGCAATCTATACCGCATCCTTAAATACTCTAATATCATCTCGGCTATTATTATCATTATTTATTATACTAAACTTATGGTTACTTTTACCCACACTTCCCACCCGCACTTGCGATAACAAGTACAGCTCGACCAAGCTAAGTTTGCACCTCGCATCGATTACGTCACACTGCCGCTTAGGTATGGTCTGAAAAAAGGATTCACTATGACTTTAAAAATGTAAACAAATGTTTGTTAGATTTTACTTTTCATTTATTGTTTTTAACAATATATTATATATAGGTACATTAGAATAAAGCGATATCGGGTTTTTGTATTAAGACCACCCGGGCATTCTTGCAATTTTTAAATTTGTATCCCAATTGCTCAGTAACAATTTTCCTTTATGTTTCCTTTTCAGGATTATGTTTCTCCCTTCACTGTGTATGACCTTTCCTTTCATTTTTGTTGCCCACGACAATCTTCTCCAAGTAAAAAAAAAAAAGATCGTTAAGCGTTCAGTTCATCATCAGTTCAACAAAAACTTAACAAAAATAGTCCAATAATATAACGTAAAGCGGCAGAAATGGGCAGGGTGGTGGTACCTACCCGCGCGGACTCTCAAGAGGTCCTACCACCACTAAGGTTCGAGCTTATGTCCCAAGGTGTGTTCACGTTGTGAGCTTGTGCGAGGCCATGTAGATTGACTGCATCTCTCTTATCTCGTATTTTACAGATTGTCCTGAGAATTCTCATTTGACAATGAACCCCTGCGCGCCGACCTGTGAAGATCCAGACCTGACACACACCAGCTGCGTAGCGGCATTGCTCCCAACATGCCACTGTGATGATGGCTTCTTGTTCGACAAATCTGGAAAATGCGTACCCGTTGATGAATGTCCAGACCAAGAGAGTGACTGTATCAACTGATTCCGACTTATAATAGGCAGCGGCTTGGCTCTGCTCCTGGCATTGCTGAAGTCCATGGGCGACGGTAACCACTTACATCAGGTGGGCCGTATGCTCGTCTGCCTAAAAGGGCAATAAAGATAATAAAATAATAATAACAGGGGTTATAGTATGAAATTGCCGTTTTATTGTAATAGGTACTTTGAGTTGACAAAGAACCTTCATGGTTTGAGATTTTTGAATGAAACTTTTTTCAAATGGTAATTCGTTTGGAGAGGGGACTGCTAATGAACGCACCGTGTGATTTTGGTTTAAACGCTTTCGTGATGGAAATTTTGATTTGAAGAATTAACCACGTGGAAGACCACCCACACATGTGAATAACAATGAATTAAAAGAGATGGTGGAAGCCGATCCGAGCCAAACTACCCAGGAATTAGCGGCATGGTTTAACGTTATCTTACCAACAATATTGACTTATTTGCGTCAAATCAATAAAATAAAAAAATATGAAAAATGGATGCCTCATGATTTGACTGATCTGCAGAAAGAAACGCGTGTTGAAACTTGTGTTGCCTTGTTGAATCGATATAGAAATGAAGGAATATTGGAACATGTGATGAAAAGTGGGTTCTTTACGATAATCGTAAGCGCAAAATGCAATGGTTGACCCCAGGTCAAGCGCCTCAACAGTGTCCTAAAGCAAAGCTTACCAATAAAAAGGTAATGGTAGTTGTTTAGTGGTCTCAGCATGGTGTTATTCACTATAGCTTTCTCCGATCTGGTTAAGCAATAACAGCAGATGTTTACTGTGCCGAGCTCCGAACAATGATAGTAAAACTTGCAGCGAAACAGTCTCGACTCATGAATCGATCTTCACCATTATATTGCTCCATGATAACGCGAGAACTCATACAGCACGAGAAACAGTTTTATCTCTACAGGAACTGCAATTAGAAACCATTCGACACCCTCCGTATTCGCCAGATCTTGCTCCAACGGACTACAATTTTTTTCTTGATTTGGACAATTTTCTACGTGATAAAAAGTTTTCTTCAAAGGCTTTCACACAGTTTGTAGAATCTAGATCACCAGAGCTCTATTGCAAAGGCATAAAGATATTTCGATTAAATAACAATGTTAAATGAAAAAAAAAAACGTATTTCAATGTTTCAGTACAAATCGGCAATTTCATACTTTAACCCCTAATATTTCGTTTTCAAAGTTCATTGTTTTTGTCTTCAAAAACTTAATTTCAGTACCTACCTAATTTATCGGCTGTTTGCTATTAAAAATTTTGAATAAAGAAAGTAAGTTTCTTATAATTAACATCCCAATTACGATTGCCTCAAGCTAGTATTTTATCCTGTGATGATTGAGACGACGATAAGAACAGATAGAATTACAAAGTTACATCTGGTAATCTAACAGCATTTTGATAAAAATGTCTCAGTGACCTTTTGACTGGGCCTCGACGTGGCGCTCAGTAAAACCGAGGCCTTGTGGTCTCACGGGCCGCGGAGAACGCCACCTTTCTACGCCCACATCGTGGTTGGAGGCGTCCGGATAGGGGTTGGGGTGCAGTTGAGGTACCTCGGCCTTGTGTTGGACAGCCGGTGGGTTTTCGTGGTCCACCCGGTCCGGGGTAGGGCGCCGGCTGTGAGTGGCAGGAGTTTTTAGTGAGATTCAACTCCCACATACCCCACCCGCCGTGCGGATGGGTATCCGGCGATTTTCTCTTGTGGGCAAAAATAATAATAAAAGTGACCTTTTGAGATCTGTGGGCGACTACTTTAAGTCATGTTGAGTTGACTGCTCGCTTGAATTCTGTGAGTTGACGATTTCTGTCAATAGTTTGGAAAAACACTTTTCTAGACGTAGCGAACTGAGTAATTGATTCGGTGGTTTTTTGTTGACGACATTCTTGTGAATCGATTAAAATATGTGTGTAATGTTTTCCTTCTCTGAATTGTGTTTTAAGGAAATCCCTCAATTGATCCCATGTGTCAAAATATTTAATGGAACACGCAATTTCAGCTTCTCCTTCAAGTTGGGATAGAATAAATTTTAGTAGTATATTTTTTTTTGACTCTGAGCCAAGATCGATTGCGTTTTCACAATTTTTTTGAAATTTTTTTAGCTTGTCACGTGATCCGTCAAAGGGCTTTATGAATTTGAACAATGTCCCTATTTGTATACATTCCCCCTTTTCAGTTTTTTGTGTTGGAGTTCGAGAAATATTTAAGCAACAATGAAGTCACGACACGGTGTAATAGTCGGACCAACAAGTAATTCGATAACGCTACCGTCTCGACGAGATAAGCACCGGATGGTTGACGAAGCTATTCGGGTGGGGCAGCCGTTGTAACTATACTGAGATCTTAGAACTTATATCTCAAGTTGGGTGGCGCATTTACGTTGTAGATGTCCATGGGCTCCAGTAACCACTTTACACCAGGTGGGCTGTGAGCTCGACCACCCATCTAAGCAATAAAAAAAAAAACCGAAACGCATTACTGCTTCACGGCAGAAATAGGCGAGGTGGTGGTACCTACCCGTGCGGACTCACAAGAGGTCCTACCACCAGTAATTACGTAAATTATAATTTTTGCGGGTTTGATTTTTATTACACGATGTTATTCCTACACCGTGGAAGTCAATCGAGAACAATTGTTAAGTACGTATTTCATTAGAAAAATTGGTACCCGCCTGCGGGATTCAAACATCGGTGCATCGCTAAATCCGAATGCACCGGACGTCTTATCCTTTAGGCGCCACTACGACTTCGGGGGGTCAGTCGACTCGAGGTAAGGCAGTGCGCGGCGCGCTGCTCTAAAGCGCCGATTATTTTGATACTCCTCAAAGGGGTAGGGACGTACTTAGTATCTCAACTGTAATCTCATCAAACTTCCTAGTCGCCAACCCGCATGCCTAATGTGATGACTTAAGGGCACAAACTTCCCAATGACAGGACACAAAATGCTACGGCCCCTAGCACCCGGCAGCTCTATTTTGGAGGATACCGAAAACCTTTTATTTTTGATCCCTTTACGCTGCCACCAATACGGAATTGAGAAAAGATCTTTTTAAAAAAGATTTTAATATTATAGATTAGAAAGATTATAAATAGACACAAAGATTTAAGACGACAATGACGGCAACTGTGCCGTCTGGAATTAGGAATAGGACTGACTGGATAGGGTGGGAATTGTTCTCTAATAAAGGATCATAAGTGCTATTCGGGAAAATGATGATGGAAGCAAAGCTAGGAACCAGAGGGTATCATAGCAGTACACATTAATATATCATAAAGATAATTTAAAATTTACACATACTTAAACAAATTCTCATACATTTAAAATCATATCATATAGTCGTCGTGGCCTAAGGGATAAGACGTCCGGTGCATTCATGTTGAGCGACGCACCGGTGTTCGAATCCCGCAGGCGGGTACCAATTTTTCTAATGAAATACGTACTCAACAGATGTTCACGATTGATTTCCACGGTGAAGGAATAACATCGTGTAATAAAAATGAAACCCGCAAAATTATAATTTGCGTAATTACTGGTGGTAGGACCTCTTGTGAGTCCGCACGGGTAGGTACCACCACCCTGCCTATTTCTGCCGTGAAGCAGTAATGCGTTTCGGTTTGAAGGGCGGGGCAGCCGTTGTAACTATAATTGAGACCTTAGAACTTATATCTCAAGATGGGTGGCGCATTTACGTTGTAGATGTCTATGGGCTCCAGTAACCACTTAACACCAGGTGGGCTGTGAGCTCGTCCACTCATCTAAGCAATAAATAAATAAAAAAAAAGGTGGCATATGGGTCGAGAGACACGGGGCCGAGTCACACCACTTCTAGACACATCACAACCGGTAGACAACCGGTGAACAGGAGACTCGTTGAGAAGGATCTCAGGGCGCCACCACTTACCGCTCTGGGAGACTTACACCAAGAAAAACAAATTAAAAATAACAATATTGTGTTTATTACACACAAATATAAAAGGATAAAATGAGTTACAATAATTTACAAAGTACTAATGAGAGGTTAAGTTACAAAGTTGAAGGTGTGTCGGTAGATACACCGAACACTCGAGAAAGCTATCCAGAAAGAAAATTAATATAAATTAGAGGTCCCGCAGTAGTCGAAATTCGACTATAATTAATTGGAATTGTAAGTTAGTACACTATTATGATTGTATTTTATACTTCTATAATCACAAATTTCGCCAAGGCTACTCTATAAAAAACATTAACAAAAACAAACAATATTTAATCTCAATTAGACCACAGACGTCAAGAACAAAAGTTTGACAATAAATAGTATGCATGCGTGTGTGCGTCAAATACATGGTATGTAGTGTGTGTAATGTTTTCTTTATTGATTTAATGTATCTTTTACGTATTATTTTAAAAAAATATTAGCATTGTGCACTTCTTCTCTGTATTCTCTATAAGTGTGGAAAATTTCATACTCCTCCGTCCGCACAATTTTCGTAAAAAGGGATACAAAGTTTTTGCTTCACTTATTAATATATAGATTAGTTAAAAGAAACAATAAGCTTCACCGAATCGCTTCCCAGCAACCGGGGTTGCTGTACGCGAGCGAGGCTGGGAATGCGGGTGTGTTCTAAGTCTACCGAAGTCAAGCAGCCTTCCTTGGAGTGACTTGCTAGAGCTCTCCACTTCTGGCAGCGTCCATATAGAAAGGTGCTGTGGGATCCCGAAGGTGAACAAAAGGTCACGCTCCGCACCCTAACTGTAGTACATAGTTTTGTACCAGTAACAAGGAACTACGTGTTAAGACATAATTATGTTTTAAATTTTTATTTAAATAAAATTTGTGGACACAGTGTGGAGAATAATTCAAAAACACTTACCCTGGTTTATCACACGACACCAAGGATTAATGTAACTGAATTTGGTAAATCAAAGAATATAATCACCTCGCAGCTCAAGAGATGTTACACGAAAGAGACTTGGACAAAGTTAACTTGTCCTTTTATATTATTAATGTGTCATTTCTCCAAGATTCTGCATGCCAGTGATATGTAAATCTGTCGTCGAACAACATACAAAATCGCACAGTCACGACA